AGCACTATAATTAAATCATACCATTTTACTGAACCCGGTAATATTATAAATTATGTAAATCTAAAAGCGCACGTATCTCATTTGACCCCATCATGAGTACCGACAGAGATAGAATACGCTGTGCCTATCACAACAGTTAACCCTTGGAGGGCCTCATGACAAAATCAAACTAACCAGTCACTTAACCCTTCCTTTCGCATAAACCACTGTATAATTATAGAAACACAAAGTAAACTCTCTCCGATACTTGACCATTGACATATTAAACTAAGTTCATCTGTGTTCAAACTCAGACAAAGATACTAGCGAGTATGATAGTTTTAGATATTTATTCATAACATAAACAGCACTAGCATTTCTGTCCATTCAATTTCAGCTTAACCGACTATCCGGAAGAATAAATGCACCGTACGAACGGCAGTTTTTTTCTCCTTGGAATACTTCCCACCTGTAAAAATGATTCCGAAAGCTACTGCTTGCGCTTTCTTTTGACCTTTTGGCAACTTTTCGCTTCGTAGCTGACACGATACAACACTTACTTCACACGGCCAGTCATTTTGTTAACAAAGAAATGGTGTGCAATGCGCATGCTCTAGTAGAGGGAATTCCCTGAACAAATCGTTGGTCAGACAGGTAGAAATACCAATGATTATCTTAGATTTAATCATTTTTATGAATCTATTTCAGCCAAATCCGATCGTTATTTTCCATAAGGAGTCTCACTTGATATGTTTATGTAGTATTTGAAAAAAAGACACAAAAAATAGTTACTTCAGCGGGATGCCCCTTTAAAGCCATTTTGGTCTCTGTGGAGTAAAACATATAGAACATAGATAGAGTAGAACATATTTTTCTGTTATTTGCTTTATACAAGTATTGAAGTTCCTACACTTTTAAGGGCATAATGAAGAGACCAAGGGACATGAAATCAACAATATTTGTCTAGTTCACTATAATTACTCATACCTCAATAATCACACATCTATGATAACTTATCATTGGACACCACCATAATGAAAGCTCTCTGACTGAAAAGCATGTTCAGCTCATCAGAGGTTGATCCCATCCCCTATAGGGGAGGGCTCTCAGGATTCTAATTTTCATATTATCAAACTGGAATCCAATGGCAATATTTCAATATACAATATAGCTTTCTAATCAACCCTTGAAATACTAACACTTTGTCTGGACTACCAGCTGATCAACCCAACCAAGTCTCTGATTAATCAGTCCCTTAGAACTTGAGTTTAAGTTTGAAAGAAGTTTTCAAAATGACAGCCATGGGGACCATATTTGATTTCTAATATACCTGAAAAATATTAACCCTTTCTCCAGGATGATTCATTAACATTCCATTCAATTATCAATGAAATCTCGTAAAAAATATTTCAGTTTCAATTGTAAATTTGTAAAATATTTACACCTGGTGGATGAAGCACCATCTTGTAACTTGACTTACTTGGCCCTTTGGACCAGCAGCACCATCTCATAACTTAGCTTACTGGGCCCTGTGGACCAGCAGCACCATCTCATAACTTAGCTTACTTGGCCCTTTGGACCAGCAGCACCATCTTGTAACTTAGCTTACTGGGCCCTTTGGACCAGCAGCACCATCTCATAACTAAGCTTACTGGGCCCTTTGGACCAGCAGCACCATCCCATAACTTAGCTTACTGGGCCCTATGATCTCATAACTTAGCTGACTGGGCCCTTTGGACTAGCAGCACCATCTCATAACTAAGCTTACTGGGCCCTTTGGACCAGCAGCACCATCTTGTAACTTAGCTTACTGGGCCCTTTGGACCAGCAGCATCATCTCATAACTTAGCTGACTGGGCCCTTTGGACCAGCAGCACCATCCCATAACTTAGCTTACTGGGCCCTTTGGACCAGCAGCACCATCTCATAACTTAGCTGACTGGGCCCTTTGGACCAGCAGCACCATCTCATAACTTAGCTTACTGGGCCCTTTGGACCAGCAGCACCATCTCATAACTTAGCTGACTGGGCCCTTTGGACCAGCAGCACCATCTCATAACTAAGCTTACTGGGCCCTTTGGACCAGCAGCGCCATATCATAACTTAGCTGACTGGGCCCTTTGGACCAGCAGCACAATCTCATAACTTAGTTTACTGGGCCCTTTGGACCAACAGCACAATCTCATAACTTAGCTGACTGGGCCCTTAGGACCAGCAGCACCACCTCATAACTTAGCTGACTGGGTCCTTTGGACCAGCAGCACCATCCCATAACTTAGCTTACTTGGCCCTTTGGACTAGCAGCACCATCTCATAACTTAGCTTACTTGGCCCTTTGGACCAGGTTTTTTTATCAAAAACATTTCCTTAAATCTCAAACTCAAACCTTATTTTTGAACTTAGCTGAGATTTACCGCCAAATGAGTATCACAAAGTTGGTAAAACTTACGCTCGGCTTGTTAAACTCAAGCTCAGCTCAGCTTGCCGACGTAAACTTCCGCTTGACTCTTCACATAAAAAGGAGCAAATTTCTCGTATCAGGACTGTGAAGTTTTTTCGTTTATTGTTGCACCTGTCATCTGTCAAATCACATGTTCACACCCAAATAATTTAAATTTAATATCAATATACCAAAAAGGGGTACAATCTTCGTAACAGTTTTTTATAAGTACAATCATACTGTTTGAAACTAAATGTATCTACTTCACTCAAAATAAAATAGAACATGCTATGAATATGTGCATGTGATTGATTCCTTTGTCTGTCAGGTTTCAAGGTCAAAGACATCCCCCCCNAGAAAAAACAAGAGGCCCAATGGGCCTGCATCGCTCACCTGGTATTAATCTCACACTTGTAATCTTAAATATGGACTAAAATACAGCTACAGGCAGAATATCAGTATTTGATTCAAAAGAACCAATTAAAAGATTTAAACATATGACGCCTGTGACCTTGAATGTCAAACAAGAACATTAGGTTGAAAGTGGGTCAAGGTCATTCATTTGAACACACTTGGTAGTCCTTCATCCCAGATACTACAGGTCCAATATCAGTACCCTGGGCCTATCAGTTATTCAGAAGAAGGCGTCTGAAGATTTTAAGACATTTGACCCCTGTGACTTTGAGAGTTGGTCAAGGTCATTCACTTGGACAAACTTCGCAGTCCTTCGTCACAGCATGCTCAAGGCCCAATACCCCGGCTAAGTTGGTTAATGAGAAGAAGTCATTTAAAGATTTTAAGACATTTGACCCCTGTGACCTTGAAAGTGAGTCAAGGTCATTCATTTGAATAAACTTGGTAGCCCTTCATCCCAGTATGCTACAGGCTCAATATCAGTACCCCTGGCCAATTAGTTATTGAGAAGAAGTTGTTTGAAGATTTTACGACATTTGACCCCTGTGACCTTGAAAGTGGGTCAAGGTCATTCATTTGAACAAACTTGGTAGTTCTTCATCCCAGCATGCTACAGGCCCAACATCAGTACCCTGGGCTTTTTTGGTTATTGAGAACAAGTCAATTGAAAATTTTAACATATTTGACCCCTGTGACCTTGAAAGTGGGTCAAGGTAATTCATTTGAACAAATTTGGTAGTTCTTCATCCCAGCATGCTACAGGCCCAATATCAGTACCCTGGGCCTTTTTGGTTATTGAGAACAAGTCAATTGAAGATTTTAACATATTTGACCCCTGTGACCTTGAAAGTGGGTCAAGGTCATTCATTTTAACAAACTTGGTAGTTCTTCATCCCAGCAGGCTACTGGCTAAATATCATCAGCCTGGGCCTCTTGGTCATTACCAATTACCTGAAATCAGATGCGGATGGCAGGGAGGTGTCTTGGGCTCTTACCTCTTTGGGTGCAAAGGGTACTTTGTTGTGCGAAATTAATTCTATCCATCACTTCTTTTGGACTGGAGTTTTGCATACATATTTGTAATAACACTACTTTTTCATACTATGAAAATTTTAGGTATACAAGAATAATAAGAACGAAAAATCCTGTATTTTACATTAAAATTTTCACAAAATGTTGATTATCCTCACATTCTGGATGATAAATATATTATTTCCGCATCACATAAAAGAAGATGTTCATTCCTAAGTATAATGTTGCAGTCATTCAGTCTTCAGTCTTCAGTCTTCCAATTAGACGAAGATCTTGAGAAATTATATTACAAGGTATTTCCATTGTTTTGTTTTTTTCTGAATAAAATCTTTACTGAGATTTGTAAATTATGGAAACATACTACTGATAATACACAGAATTGTATGGCAACGCATTCAAATATCTGTTCTTTAACCAAAAGATTGGCTAAATTGTAACATCATCTCCGAGCGTGACGTAATGCCAGTCTGACCTGACACAAATAAATTATGAAATTTCACGCCAAGTGATGATTTGCTTAATGTTGGCTTACAAAAAGTAAAAAAACTTTGTTTTTTATTTATAGTCATTTTGTTGGAAACTTTAACTATAATGCGTAATTATTTATATTTCAAATCGCACTCGAGCCCTACCGTATTCGGACCAAAGACATCTCATTTCACGGCTTGTTCAAAGGACTGTATTTTCAACAAATGGCAAATTAATTTCCAAAAACATGGATGACCTGAACATTTGCCCAGTAAAGAATGTTTGTATTCCAAACAATTTGGATGAATTTTGAAAATTATATATAGTCACATGTTTTTTTCATGACAATTGTTCGCCAAATTCAACAGTAATATAAGCCTGCCATTTTATTGTAAACAGCTTTGTTTCTGAACTTGAGTTCAAACTTAAATTCGCTTTTGGGCAGTCTCTGCCTTTTGGCCTCAGCTTAGGTTGTTGAGCTGAGTGTTTAGTTTGTGATAAAGAATTACGGATGCTGAGCTTGAGTTCGGACTTAAATCTTAGCTTTGGGCAGCCTCAAGTACGTTTGTGATACTGAAGCCTGGTAACCTAGTCAAAAATACCTCACTTCCCCTTAGTTCCTAGCCTTGATCAAGATTTCCTGTAAAGTCTCCCTGCTGAAACCTACCTTAACTGCCAATAGTCTCTCCATGTTGTTACCATAGGTCCTCTGGAAACAATCCTCACTGGCAAGAAGCCGTATGTCTGACAAACAAAATATCAAAAAATGACATACCTCTGTAGGGAAATAATGTTAACGGAACAGGTCAGGTAACAGATCACCAGCTAAGCACAGAAATGTCCACACATGGTGATTTGTACCATGTGATCACCATTAATTAAGTTTCAGTTCAGTTCACTGAAAGCTTCTAAAAGGCCCTAGCACACATCTAAAGAGCCCCAACACACATCTAAAGGGCCCCAGCACACATCTAAAGGGTAAAACAAACATTTAAAGAGCCTTAACACACATCTAAAGGGCCTCAGCACACATCTAAAGAGCCCCAACACACCTCGAAAGGGCCCCAACACACATTTAAAGGGTCAAACACACATTTAAAGGGCCAAACACACATCTAAAGGACCAAACAACTATCTTAAAGGGCCAAACACACATCTACAGGGCCAAACACACATTTAAAGGGCCAAACACACATCCAAAGGACCAAACACACATCTTAAGGGCCAAACACACATTAAAAGGGCAAAACAAACATCTAAAGGGCTCCATCACACATCTGAAGGCCTCGACACACATCTAAAAGGACCCAGCACACATCTTAAAGGTCAAACACACATCTAAAAGGCCAAACACACATCTAAAGGGCCAAACACACATCTAAAGGGCCCCAGCACACATCTAAAGGGCCCCAACACACATCGAAAGGGCCCCAACACACATTTAAAGGGCCAAACACACATTTAAAGGGCCCCAGTACACATATAAAGGACCCAAAAAAACATCTAAAGGCCCCAGCACACATCTTAAGGAGCCAAACACACGTTTAAAAGGCCCCAGCGCACATCTAAAGGGCCCCACCACACATCTAAAGGGCCTTACCACACATCTAAAGGGCCCAAGCACACATCTAAAGGCCCCAGCAAATTTCTTAAGGACCAAACACACATTTAAATGCCCCAAAACACATCTAAAGGGCCCAACACACATCTAAAGGGCCCAAACACACATTTTAAGTGACCCAAACACACATCTCAATGGTCCCAACATACATCTAAAGGGCCCCAAAACACATCTAAAGGCCCCAACACACATCTTAAGGAGCCAAACACACGTTTAAAAGGCCCCAGCGCACATCTAAAGGGCCCCACCACACATCTAAAGGGCCTCACCACACATCTAAAGGGCCCAAGCACACATCTAAAGGCCCCAGCAAACTTCTGAAGGGCCAAACACACATTTAAATGGCCCAACACACATCTAAAGGGCCCAACACACATCTAAAGGGCCCAAACACACATTTTAAGTGACCCAAAAACACATCTAAAGGCCCCAGCACACATCGAAAGGGACTAAACACACATTTAAAAGGCCTCAGCACAAATCTAAAGGGCCCAAGCACACATCTAAAGGCCCCAGCACACATATATAGGACCAAACACACATCTAAAGGGCCCCAACACACATCTAAAGGGCAAAACATACATCTAAGGGCCCCATCACACATCTTAAGGGCCCAAGCACACATCTAAAGGCCCCAGCACACATCTAAAGGGCCCAAACACACATTTAAAAGTTCCCAGCAAACTTCTTAAGGGCCCAACACACATATAAAGGGCCCAAGCACACATCTAAAGGCCTTAGCACACATATAAAGGACCAAACACACATCTTAAGGGCCCCAACACACATCTAAAGGGCAAAACATACATCTAAAGGGCCCCAACACACATTTAGAAGCTTATATCAGCAGATTCCCCTCTATTTTCAGAGGAACAGTATTCACAGAAATTTTACCTTCTACAGACAGATCTGAATTAATACCAATACCTTATACCTTCACTTCAGGTCTGAACCAATACCTCATACCTTCACTTCAGGTCTGAACCAATACCTCATACCTTCACTTCAGGTCTGAACCAATACCTCATAGCTTCACTTCAGGT